GAATTTTTTTTTTTTTTTTTTTTAATTTTCTACCTACTTTCGATGCTTCTTTATGAATATAAAGGAGTCCATTATTTACTCACCGGACAATATTGCCAGGCCGAACAGTTCGCAGTCTCGCATGCCCTGCTGGCCGAGAAGCATGCATGTCTGCGCGTACACCTCCTTCACTCTCGACTTCGCCTAAAAAAAAAGAAAAATGATGTAACGAAATATTAAATTTCGAGAAAAAATTATAGTGAAAAATATTTAAAAGAGGAGATAAATGTTGAAGAGTTTTAAGGGATGATAAATTCGACAAATTTTTATCTGTGCTTTAAAATTCGTATAATTGAACCCATTTCAACTTAGCGAAAATTTCACTTTAATAAATGGAAAATCAGATAAATAGAGTTCCATAGTAATATTCGATTTTTCCTTCGTCTAAATTATTAAACAGCATCGAACGGTTAAGCGTTCATCGAGCGTTCGTTATTTCGTTATAATTTCATCAGATATCTAAATCGATAAAATCGAATACGTGCGCATAAAACGTCGTATAAAACGTCATACGATTATCGATAAACGATTTCGAGCGAAAACACATCGAACTATCGATCGAGGGAGTCTATCAAACGCTCAATCAAAACGCTTGTGCGTTCACCAGAAAGCGGAAAGGAACTCCCCTTTTCGAAGAGACGTCGCTACGCACGTGACTGGTAATAGAGCACGCGTAATGAGATTGTATCGTTCTCGAAACCCTTGTCCGACACCGACCCCTTTATGTAATTACAAATTTACATCGGTGAAACGATTGTGCACAAATGATTTCGTTTCAAGGTGGACTTGTGGATGTCAACGTGTACGAGAGATATCGCGTTTAAAAAGAAAATGAATAGAGTAGAAGTAGAAAACAGGGAGAAAAGAAGAAGGGAGTAAGATTAAATTTCCAAATTGCATTAAAAGAAATTAATTTTTCGAAATTTTCGTTTGCTTCGTAAGAAACTTCTCGTTAATATTATCTCGAGTCATTGAGTTATCATTTTGATTAATTTTTTCAGTGATATTCCTGATTAAAATATTAAAATAAGAATACGAATTTTCTAAGAATATAGCGTCGTTATTTAAAAACTTTAATCGACACACTCTTTAACGACCTGCAAATCCAGAGATCAATTAGTATCATTGCACGAATCGTTGCGATTCATGGTTAGATCGAGCAATAGAACGAGATGGAAATTTATGTACCGTTTATACACGGATAGATTTAAACTTGCGGTAACCCACATTCTAGAGAAACCGGAATCCCTTGCGTAAACGACATTAACGTTAACCCATTTTATGCGTCTTTTTGAGAGACGTTTACGTTCATCTATGTTTGGAACGATTCTATTTAAAAGATATTATAGAAATTATAATCAAAACGAGAGAGAATGAGAGAGAGAGACATATAAAATTATGTTAAATATTAGCATATGTATGTAAATTCTTCTTGAATTTAGATATGAAATTCTTTCATGAATAATTAATTTATAGATATGCACGTGGATATACTTTTCTCAAAGGAATGAGAAATAATTTTTCTTCCGATCTTAATAAATTTCTTGAGAAAGTTTAATATATTCCTCGTTATCGGATGAATAATTTTCTAAAAACGCAAAAAAAACAATATATTAAATAATTTTAAAAATTTAACTATTTTTTTGAATGAATAATCACGCATCAATAATGATCCTGAATAAAGTCAAAATAAAATCAGTTTAGAAACTGCGAAAATCATTGATCTTATTTTCTTTTCCAAATAAACGAATTGATAACTTATACAATAAAAATCAATAGCATATTACTTTATAATAATAAAACAACAACATGTAGATCAAATTACAAATTTTCTGAAATGAGAAGAGAATGAGGATAATCCTCGTAATGAATTCGTTTAATAAAATTTCTTATTCCCACACGCGATGCGACGAAAAAAAAAAAAAAAAATAAAAAAATAAAAAATATCCAAACGATATTAATCCCAATAAATCTAGGCAAGTTTGAATATCCTACTTTATTCAAGCTTTTATGTCACGACTCGAATTCCTGGTCGGAGTTAGCGTCGGGTTAATCGAGAAGTTGGACACGTTTTCGCGGTTGGATGACGACGCCAGAACCATACGGTTTCGAAAATAAAAAGAAAGAAAGAAAGGAAAAAAAGAATCATCATCGCTCGGTAATTTTATCACTTCGATTCGCGACATGCAGGCATTCTGCATCGCGCGTAGCATGTAATAACAATGCGTGGATGTATGAATATTGCAAACGGTGAAAGCGTACCACATACCAGACTCGTTACAACCGTGGTAGTTCGCAGACGTAGCTATACACGGTGGTGCCATACCAAAGAATGTACGTGATCAGATTGATACACCTTGCTACAGCGAATATGACGATAACAATTCCCCATACCCCTTGATCATTATCCTTGTAAATACTTTCGTGGAGGGGAGAAAGAGTTAAGATTTAAGGGAAGAAGAATTTCTGAACATCTGTGATCGATATATACAAATGATCGAATTAGATTTTATTACGTATTGAAACAATTCTATTACATAATACAGTAATTGCTGTAATGGAAATCTGTTAATTTGTAATTTTTTGGTACAATAAAAAATTATAATTAAAAAATGTGTTTAAATATTATAAAGCCGTTATATAATATTAAATAATTAGAAAATTAAAAATAAAGGAGACGCAATGAGGATAGAAATATCATTATTTGAATATATACGTATCGTGCATTAATATACATCGTAATAGAAAAATATGGAAAATAACAGATATCCTCGAACGAGTTATTAACGAGTTAACGAACGCGACTTGGAAACTACTCTATGTATCGAAGTTGGCCACACGTGCAAGAATTTCCAATTATACCACGGTATAATAATTCATATGATGTATGCATTTATTTTCTCATCTGATATTTCCACCATTGCTAATAATGCATAGTTTATTCGATCTTCTCGCGGAACTTAAATCAAAATACTTTGCCAAACCACGGGTAGGTTTAAAATAAATACGCGAAATATAGCGGGTACTTAAACTTTTTTCTCTACTTACGGAATGAAATCAGCCCGGCCGACCAATCTGGTTAATTAATTACCATTCGGCCAATCCTTTATATCTACCTTCAATCTAATGAATCCTCGTTTAAAGGAATTCCGTATATTTCCGTATAACTTTTAGAAGAATTTCCAAAGGCAACCAATTATATTCGTTGTGTACACGTTGTGTGTATGAGGAAACGTTGGAATTTATCCGACGTGTTTTAACGCTTCAAAGCGTATAGGAATGCGCGAACGTTTCGTATCGTGGCGCTTTTCCTTGTGCTTCCCCACAAACGCATCGAGCATGCAACATTGTTTAATGAGAGCTTCCTAAATATCTTTTTTTTTTTTAATACGACCGGATTCGCGTAAGAAAATTACGCTCGCGCAGCAGGTAAGAATAATTAAAAGAATAACTTATTTTAAGTTAATTATGCTAGAATCGTGGAACCGTGTTACGATTATTATATTACACAAGACGTTGATACGCTCGTGAGAGAGTCTTTTGAGAGTCAATTTCAAAATGAGAGACAAACACAAATATGTCGCAACACTTATTTAATAGCGAGTTACCGGGCAATTTAAGACGAAGGAGGAGAGGATGGTAGAAACGGCGGTATGATTATTAAAATTATCGCAAATTGCAGAGTTTGCGAGAGATGTGAAAATGGCATGCGATCGAAATGAATTTTAAAAAGAATCAATTTTCGCGTTTTAAATAGATTTTAATTCTTGGGAGAAAATTAAAAAAGACTTTTATTTATTTTTATCCTTTCCGCCCATTTCGAATCATTTCAAATTAAAAATCTGAAAGATAGTATAATAAATTCTTCTTCTTTTACATTCTCTTTAAAATAAACTTTAAAATCAACTTCAAGCTCGTCACGAGAAAAGAAAACGTATAATTGAAAATCCGATCATATTGCTATATTTTTATAAGAACGTTCGTTATCACGCGATGATCAGAAACAAAGGTGGTATTAGGCCAATTACCGTCACGAGAGATCGCAATAATTTGCCGCTCGAAATAGACCCGCTGGTTCCCAACTTATGATGATAAGACTTGTTGCGCATGCGTGGAAGAACGGCAATTCTTTTCTACCGTTGCGAAAAAAAGGATCGGCGTGGCAGGCTCGGTGACGAGGTACACTACAAGGATCGGTACACGGTAATCACAGCTTGAGCACCGTATAATCATGAAAAGTCCTCGGCGCAACCGTTCCTATTGTTCCTTCTTCGCTCAATGAATTACATATACGGAGATGGTAAATGGTAACAGGCGTGAGCGCGAATTCGCGCGATGGAGGACGTAGAAAGAGAGAAGGAGAGGAATAGAGAAGGAGGGACACCCACGGATATTCAAATCGCATCTGGCATTGCCTTCGCTTCCTACCGTAGGCCCCATGACTTCACCGGTCTCGTGGCTTTTTAGAATGAATGGACGTGCGGATCCAGGACCGATTCTTGCCTCGTTCGCGAGACAAAGCATCGACGGATTCGCTGTCGTCACGATTTGCATAAATTGCAAATGCTCAACGTCGAGGATGTTTATTGAAATCTCGCCACTTTTATAGCTGAATCGAGTCTTGACGCTTTTGGTTTCGTATTTACGAGGTGATCCTCTTTTTCTTTTCCTTTTGTTTTTCCTTCAAAGCATCAAACAACGAATCATTTGAATGAAAATTGCTCCTTTCTTTTGATTCCTTTCTTTTTTTCTTTTCTCTTTTTCTTCTTCTTCTTCTTCTTCTTCTTCTTTTTTTTTTTCTCGTTGAAAGCGTCAAAGAGTAAATTGTTTGAACGAAAATTTGCGCTGTTTAACGGAGCAGACGATGTGCACACGAAGAAGAAGATGTATGTCATCAGAGGAAATAATAGATGGACAATATTTTAAGATATCAAAGATATTGCGAAAAAATCATCAAATCATCAAAATTGTAAAAATTTTCAAATTACAGAGATTCGAGTTACAAATATATATATATATACTTTTCGATAAAATTGAAAAATTATTTAATAAACTTTAAATAGGTAATTTCGAAGAGCGTTCGAATCGGTATTATTATAATGAATACAATTTCGTGCTATATGATTACTTAAAAACTTAAATGG